TGAGGTGTGTTTCTTGTATGCAGCAGAAGGAAGGATTCTGTCTTCTTATCTATTCTGCTAATCTGTGTCTTTTTATAGGCAAGTTAAGACTATTAATGTTGATGGATATTGATGACCATGGATTGTTCATTCTTGTTTGTTTTTGATTTGGTGATGGTGTCGAAATTATGCTGTCCCCCTTTTCATTCCTGATTTTATTAACTTGCTTGTTCACTCTCTGCTGTTTGGTAAGTTTGAATAAAGGTTTGTCTATCTTGTTGATTTTCTGGAGAACCAACTCTTTGTTTTATTGATTTTTGTATTGTTCTCCTAGTTTCCATTTTATTGATTTTAGTCCTCAATTTGATTATTTCCTGGCATCTGCTCCTCCTGGGTGTATTGGCTTATTTGTTTTCTAAAGCTTTCAGTTGTCCTGTTAATTTTCTAGTGTGATTAGTCTCCTGTTTCTTCATGTGGGCACTTAACTCCATGAAATTTCCTCTTAGCACTGCTTTGAAAGTGTCCTTTAGGTTTGGGTATGTTGTGTCTGCATTCTCATTGAATTCTAGGAAATCTTTAATTTCTTTTTTTATTTCTTCCTCGATCCAGGAATTGTGCAATTGGGTGTTACTTAATTTCCATGAGTTTGTAGATTTTCTGTAATTCATGTTGTTGTTGAATTCTAACTTTAAAGCATGGTGTTCTGATAAGATACAGGGGGTTATTTCAATTTTTTGTACCTGTTGTGGTTTGCTATGTTGCCAAGTATGTGGTTGATTTTAGAGAAGGTTCCATGTGTCACTGAGAAGAAGGTAAATTGTTTTGTATTTGTATAGAATGTTTTATAGATATCTATTAAGTCCAATTGGACCATAACTTCGATTAGTTCCTTTGTTTCTTTGTTAAGTTTCTGTCTGGTGTTCCTGTCCAGTGGTGAGATTGGGGTGTTGATGTCTCCCACTATAAGTGTGTGAGGTTTTATGTATGATTGGAGTTTTAATAATATTTCTTTTACAAATGTGGATGCCTTTGTATTTGAGGCATAAATGTTCAGAATTGAGACTAATGGATTTCTCCTGTGATGAGTAAGAAGTGACCTCCTTCATCTCTTTTGATTGATTTTAGTTTAAAGTCCAATTTGTTGGATATTAGGATTGCTACCCCCGCTTGTTTCTTGGGTCTATTTGATTGGAAAATCTTTCCCCAACCTTTAATTCTTAGGTCTGTCTTTGAAATTGATGTGTGTTTCTTGTATACAACAGAAGGAAGGATTCTGTCTTCTTATCTATTCTGCTAATCTGTGTCTTTTTATAGGTGAGTTAAGACCATTAATGTTGGTGGATGACCATGGATTGTTCATTCTTGTTTGTTTTTGATTTGGTGATGGTGTCGAAATTATGTGTGGGAATCTATGTCTTTTTCCTTTTGGCTGTTGGTAAAGTGGGATTATATATTGCCTACATTTTTCTGGTTGTAGTTAACTTACTTGGGTTGCAGATTTCCTTCCAGAACTTTCTGTAGGGCTGGATTGGTGGATATATATTGTTTGAATTTGGTTTTGTCATGGAATATCTTGTTTTCTCCATCTATATTGATTGAAAGCTTTGCTGGGTATAGTAGTCTTGGCTGGCATCCATGGTCTCTTAGTGTATGTAGAATATCTATCCAGGACCTTCTGGCTTTCAGAGTTTCCATGGAAAAGTCAGGTGTAATTCTGATAGGTTTGCCTTTATAAGTTACTTGACCTTTTCCCTTTGCTGCTCTTAATATTTTATCTTTGTTCTTTATGTTTGGTGTTTTGATTATTATGTGGGAGGAGACCTTTTTTGGTTCAGTCTATTTGTTGTTCTGTAGGCTTCTTGTATTTTCATTGGCATGTCTTTCTTTAGGTTGGGAAATTTTTCTTCTATGATTTTGTTGAATATGTTTTCTGTGCCTTTGAGTTGGATTTCTTCACCTTCTTCTATACCTATTATTCTTTGGTTTGGTCTTTTCATGGTATCCCATATTTCCTGTATATTTTGTATTAAGGATTTGTTGGACTTAAGATTTTCTTTGGGTGATGATTCTATTTCTGCTAGTGTGTTTTCATCTTCTGAGATTCTCTCTTCCATGTCTTGTATTCTATTGGTTATGCTTATGTCTGGAGTTCCTGATCGTTTACCCAGCTTTTCTATTTCCAGAATTCCCTCAGATTGTGCTTTCTTTATTATCTGTATTTCAGTTTTTAGGTCTTGAACTGTTTCCTTGAGAGATTTGTTGACATCTTATATATTTTGGCTTGTTTTTTCTTCCATTTCTTTAAGGGATTTTCTCATTTCTCTTTGAGGTCCTCTATCATTTTCATGAAGATGTTTTTAATGTCATTCTCTTCTGCTTCATCTGCATTGTGATGTTCAGGTCTTGCTGGTGTACGGTTCCTAGTCTCTGGTGGTGTCATACTGGGTTTTCTGTTGTTGAATGTGCTTTTACATTGACCTCTTCTCATCCTTTCTTCTGGTGGGTTTAGCAGGAGTCTCTTCCTCTCCTGGTAGGTATGGGATCAAGGTTCCCTTCTGGTAGATGCAAACAGTTCCAATACTCTGATGTCTGTCCTCTTGTCGTGGATGGAGGTGGAACTGCCACCGGGGCCTCGGCAGAGTTCAGGTGTGTCAGGTCCCGCTGCTGATCTCGGTTCCAGCGAGCAAACCCTTGGCATCAGATGCTTCTGAGCAGGGCCACTTACCCTGAGCCTTTCTTGACATTCTTGAAGGGACTTACTTATTTCCTCTGGTTTTGTTGTTGTTTTTCCTTGATTTCCTTAAGGAAGTTTTTCATTTCTTCTTCAAGGACCTCTATCCTGTTCATAAAGATTTTTAAGGTCTTTTTCTTGTGCTTTGACTGTGTTAGAATGCTCTAGTCTTGCTGTCAATGGATAGCTGGGCTCTCATGGTGCCATATTGCCCCAGCTGTTATTTATTATATTTTTACACTGTCATTTAGGAATCTGGGTTTGGGATGATTAGGTCTAGCTTCTGATTTTTGAGTTTGTCTTTGTTGGGTAGGTGTTTTGTTCCTTGGTTTCTGTTTCCTCTTTGGTTTTCTAGTCTTTGTGGCCTGGATTTCTGGAGGCTGGTATGACCTCTGATCTAGTTGGAAGGCTCTGTCCAAGTTGGAAGCTAGTCTTCTGGTTGTTAGCTTCACCTTCAGTGCAGCAGGGATCTCTGTTCTTCTTGCCACATGTAGTTTTTGAGCAATTAAAATGTGGCCAGTATGACTAATAACTTAATATTTTTATTCAATTTATTTTAATATATTTACATACAAATATAAAACTAATATGTAAGTATTAAAAAGTTATGTTTTGGAATAAAATTGCAAATATTTTATGAATCTATTTTATATAAACATGTATTTATGAGTATAGAAATACTATTTTATTTTTGATGAAAATTTAATGTTCAAATCAAGATATGCTATAAGTACAAAGTACACTCAATCATTTTCAAATCCTTATCACTAAAGATGCAAGATACTTAATTAATACTTTATCAATTATGTGTTAATAGGACAATATTCTAAGTGTATTTGGTTAAATAAGGTATGTCATCAAGCTTAAACTTACTCTTGGTTTTTACTATAACTACTAGGACAGTTAATATCACTTATGTGTATTGCTAAATATCTGTCAGGCAGTTCTGTTACCATTGATTATACTCTGTATAAAGCAAATTTACATGAATATATTTAGTAATGTATTTTAATTTGTTATCTATAGGAAAATGTATTTAAATTCTGGAAATCCCATATTCTCTCAGACTGCTCCGTTGCTCTTTTGCATGACTCTTTTTGGTGGTGGTTTCTCCATAAATTCAAGGTAAGTGACATTTTAAAAATATGGAAAAATATAGATTTATAGCAAATTCTTTTTTCAGTAGAAGTAATATTAATACAAAAGTTTTTTATATAGATGAATCTTTGAGAATTCCACAGACTAAAAATCCTATTTGAACTTTCTTCTTTTAGAGGAGTTAAATTCCAATAAGGATTTCAATAAACTGGATTCTTCATTGGTCAGAAAAGATAAGGGAAAGCCAATACTGTAGAGAACAATAAAGTTGCTTCTTTGCATATTACCATATGCTGGTAAACTGAGCAGAAAGTCGACTATAAATCAGTTAACACTGAAGATTTAGAAAAGAACCTGGTGGTCAGACAGACAGAGGGCCTTTAGTTGATTCAGAAAGGTGAGAGTCTGAACCTGAAAATGAAATTGGTTGTACAGAGACACTGTTTGACCAAAAGAATTTCAGTAAGAATAAGTACCCTAAAGTTGCCTAAAAGCTTGGCTCCCCAAAATTTTATGATGAATTAGAAGGTGGCCTACACTGTGATCCCCAAACCACTGCAGTCTGAGACAGTGCACACGACAGTGCAAGCCCCTCCAGCTCCAAAGTTCACATCAGAGGACTGTGCATAGTCCCTGCTCACTCATCACAGGCGACACTGTCCATGCCCATCTAACCCTGTCACTGGGGGAATGGGTCCATTAAGGTGCTGTCTCTGTCATATTTACCCTGAGAACAACAAAGGCTTCAAATTCTTCATGTTAACTTGTTTGAAGAATTTTTCTTTTTTTTTTTCTTTTTAAAACAGTCTTATTTTTCATACCAGTTCCCGCTCACTCCCATCCTCCCACTTCCAACACAATCTATTCATCCAACTCCCCATCTGCTCTGCTCTTCAGAGAGCGTGAGGCCTCCCATGGGAAATCATTAATGTCTGTCACATCATTTGGGGCAGGGCCCAGGCCCTCCCCTCTGTATCTAGGCTGAGCAAAGTATCCATCCATAGGGAATGGGATCCAAAAAGCCAGTTCATTTACTAGGGATAAATACTGGTTCCCCTGCCAGCAGCCCCATAGACAGCCCAAGCCCCCCAACTGACACCCACATTCAAGGAGCCTAGTTCGGTCTTATGTAGGTTCCCAGCTGTCAGTGGGGAACTTCTACTGAGCAAGTGAGCTCCCACTTGCTCAGGTATGATGACTACCTTAAATGCCATCATAGAGCCGTCATCCAGTATCTGATGGAAGCAGAAGCAGAGATCCACAGCTAAGCACTGGGCTGGACTCCTGGAATCCAGTTGTAGAGAGGGAGGAGTGATGAGCAAAGGGATCAAGACCGTGCTGGGGAAACCCACAGAGTAAAGAAAAGAACTAAAAATACACGAGAACTTATGAAAACCAGAAACAAAAATAGGTATACCACCACCATTTTTACAGAAATAGACAATTACATTATTAGCTTTTTATCACTGTAACAAAACTATCTGGCATGCATACCTTGAAACAGAGAGTTTATTTTTCTCATTTTTTCAGATTAAGTCCGTCCTAGCAAGGAAGGCATTATAGATCAGTTCTCATCCTGATGGAAAAGCATCAAGAAGGAAGCTGACACTGGACAGCCTCCTCCCTTGTCCCTTTTGTCCCCTCTGGACACCAGCACATAGTGTGGTGCTTCCCACATTTAGAATTGGCTTTTCCTCTCAGTTAATTCACTCTAGAAACACAGCACAGACAAAGTTAGAGGTGTGCCTGGCTAATCTCATAATTGGTTCTAAATCATATCAAGCTGACAATGAAGATTAATCTTCATCAACAGATTGGATAACCTGAACAGAACATAGAAAAGAAATTGCTAAAGCCTTGCAATCTGACAAAACTGATTCACAAAGCAAAAGACAATTAAGATATATTATAGTTCTAAAGAGGTTGAATCAGTAATTGAAACTTCCCAACAACAAGAAGCCCTGACCCAGATAACCAGTTTCATTGGTAAATTCCACCAATATTTTAAAATGCATGTGCATCAATATTACACCTCATCTAAAATAGTCAAGAGAAAAGATCAAAGTCTAGCTTGAAAAGTTAATATTACACCAAATCTAGGTAAAACATTACAAAAGAGAAACACTACATACTAATATTTCTTACAATAAATATGAGTGCAAAAACAAAATTTACTATCAAGCCAAATTCAGCAGCATATTGTAAGAATAATATGCCATAGCCCATAGGATTTACCACTGGACAGCAAAGATAATTTAGCATAAGTTGAGTACCTTGATCTGATGGATACAGTGATGACCAAAATCCCTAACAGAAAGCTACATTTTTAATAACCATATATACAAAAATGAAACAAACATTTTGCTGCATAATCATCTGTGAAAATATTTGAATCATATTAACCAAAGACGTATCCTGTAGCTTTATGTCTTATGTAAATTTCTGCTCTTTGCTTCATAGATGTTGAGTATAGATTGTATAGTTAAAATATAGTAACTTTCTTGAATAAATTTTGTATATGTATTCTCATTTAATTCTTAAAAAACTATATCTCAGAAACCGAGCCTTTTCATGAGTCATCAAGAAATACTGTCATCATTATCAGTATTTTCACTGCTGTGACCTCCTTTTATAAAGTTATTTAAAAGGTATAAGAAGTTTAGAGACATGAAATCTACTAGTTCTTAATTACTTGAATGAGTCTCTTGGTTTTTCTGAGCACTATTGAGTCACTGATCTAGAAGGCTTTAAGGCAGATGATCTAGAAATTCATTTTACATTTAAGATCCTATGTATCTATAAATCCCTATTCACTTTGTTTTCTATGACCTCTACAATTGACAGTTTTGCATTTTACATTTGTGTTTTTACAGCTCATTAATGAGTTTGAACTCTTGTCTTCCTTGTACAATGATTTAGATTCTAAATTATTCTCATTACTTAGTAGAGCAAGAAGCTAGGCTGCTACACTGGGATTTTACTATGATGTTCCTGTTATTAAATAACTTTAATTTTGCTTTGGTTACTGCTGATAAGGGAAGAGTTCACATTGTTACAGAAACTAACTGAGTTATTGGTTGTCTCCAGCATGATAGCTACTGACCAAGAACCTTCATTCCACAGATGTTTCAATGCTTTCTGTGTTCTAGACACTGTGTCAAGTGTTGAAATGCAAAGTTATGTAAAATGTGTTTTCCCTAGTTTAATTTTACTACTCTTTTAAGATATGACAGATGTATTTGACTATCATCTAGGAAAGTAAAATATAGTCCCATCCAAATAGTGCAACTAATAAATGACAGAGCTATCATCCAAACTCCACTGTGATGCCAAAACAAATGACCCTTCCATTATACTGGGCAAACTACACTTTAAGATAGACTATGTTCTTATATCATACATGTATGTGTGTATATATGTATGTATATGTATACTATATTACATGTAGTAATGTTGTACACAGAACTTCCTAGTATAAATTTTAATGTTGACCCTAATTGCATACATGCATCTCCTTTAAGCCTAACACAAGAGATCAAGATTGCTTGTTTGACAGAATTGCGGAAAATTACGTAATGCTTTTCCTGAGAATACCTCATAAGAAAAAAGACGCATTCTTTCAGGTACATGTAAAACCTTAACAGTTATAACAGTTGTCTTCTTAGTGTATGAAAAATATATTTTATTTAAATATATACAAGCATATTTTATAACAAGAAATTGTCTGATGTAAATAATGGAAACATTTTTCAAGTTATGTTTTACCATTATGATCACTACCCAGAATATTGTTTTCTTTGGACTCATAGTCTTAGAATCACTGTAGTGCTATAGTCATGTTGGTTGGTAACTGGTGACTTCTACGTATATTCTTAGTTTTATTTTACTTACCTATAAAAATATCATTTTTCTTTTACTCTATTATAAATATTTTAATACATTTAAGCAAAACTGAGTAGTTTATATTATACTTAATGAATAAGCAATAAATTAAATGTTTATTTTCTTTTTCTGTTATATTAATTAATAAGTAAGTTTAATCAAAATAATGTTTTGGCAAAATGAGAAAATATAAGGAATTCTTTGAATGTTTTAAGTATTAATACTTACTATTTCAAAACACAAGCAATATTCAAGTATCTTATGTTTCAGCAATCTGTAAAACAGATGTGTAAAGCATTTTAGAATTCATAAATGTTTTCACATTTTTGGACGGAATATGAAATATCCTTAATGAAAGTATAAATAATTCTAAATTTAAGGATTTGTCAAATATTTACACTCAACCTTGGTTTATCTTACACTTCCATAGACTGTGGTGGGGAAAATTATAGTGCCTGGGAACTGAGTGTGGAAGACTTGTTCACTATGGGCAGCACCATCCTATTAGCTGCTCTCCTGGAGTCCATCGAATGGAGAAAGCAAGTTGAGCACCAGCATTCATCTCCTTCTGCTTCCTGACTGTGGGGTGCCATGTGACTAGTTCCCTCAAGCTCTTGATGCCATAACTTTCCTGCTGTAATATACTGTACCCTGGAACCATGAGCTGGAATAAGCTTATTCTTCTTTAAGTTGCTTTTGGTAGAGTATTTTATTACAGAAACAGGAAAAAGAAACTAAAACCATCTTTTTGTAGTCACCAGGAGTTGGCATAATCATACACACACACACACACACACACACACACACACACACACACACAACACCTTACACATGGGATTGAGAAGTCCCTCTTTTTTTTTTTGTTTTGTTTTGTTTTTGTTTTTTGTTTTTTTTGTTTTTTTATTTAATTATTTTTTGTTTGTTTCACATGTAATTCCCCTCTCCCTCTCCCTCTCCCTCCCCTTACCCCCATTCCTTCTCCCCCACCTCCAACCTACCCCCCACCCCATCCACCCACCACTCCCCAGGCAGGGTAGGGCCCCCAACCGGGGCTCCACCAAGTCCACCAAATCTTCCTGTGCCCTTCCTGGGCCTAGGCCCCTCCCCATGTGCCCAGAGACAGAGCGCATCCCTTCAAGTGGGATGGGCTCTCAAAGTCCCCCACATACACCAGGGCAAAAAGCCAGTCCACCTC